GAAATCTTTGGTTTTTCATAAAAATACCTAAAAATCGAACTAAAGAAAAAAGAAGGAAAGACACATCTAATACAATTCATCAACGTGAAAGCTCAAATCCGACGTGTTGTCAACCCAAATTTTCGTCAATTTTAATTTCCCCAGCTTGCGGAATTTTCTCACAACTTCGATTATATTTTTCAGGGAAACTACAGAATATTTCCAAAACAATGAAGACTAATCAAAAAAATTTGCTTTTCAAAAAAATTTTAAAAAAAACTTTCAAAAATTTTCTTTCAAAAAAACTTGTAACCGTTTCTAAGGCACTTCAGATTATACAAATCCAAAAAAAAACCAAATTTGAACCTCAAAACGAAGAAAAAAGTTCAAATAAAAGTTGGGAGATTCGCCCCAAGCCATGCCAGAAGAAATTGACGAGCCCAATGGCCCATTTGCATCTTTTTCAGCGCCAAAAAGTTTTTCCCCTTGTTCTTTTTCTTTTTCGTGATGTTCGTCGGATTTTAGTCCGATGACCCGCTTTCGAATCTCCATATTCGGCCTTGTCATCGACCGTTTTCGGGTAAGTATTGGGTTCTGCTCATGTTTTTGGTTTGGAACCTTTGGGTTAGGAAAATGATTGAGACAAAGTTCTGGAATAGGTTCAAAAAACATCCAATAAATCCCAAAAAAAGGAAAGAAAAAAATGAACCAAGCTGATAAAAATCGCATTTTTTATGTGGAACAAACAGTTTTAAAATAAAACCCGAAAAATGGCGCAAAAAAAGAAAAAAATCTTAAAGGCGCACAGGCCACGACTCAAAAGCGATCCCGATGCGAAATTTAACTTTTTCGCTGATTTTCATCATTCAAGTTCAAGAAGTTCTGTGAACACGAAACATGGCGAAAAAGATTTTTGAGAGGAAACATAACAAAAATATTTCAAATTTAAAGGACCATAGGCGAAATCTGACAAAAAATTGTGACGCGAAAATAATCATCTTTTTCAAAATCTATGTCGTAAATCGATGGTATATAGAACCTCAAAACAATAATCAAGGTCATGAGAAGAAGAAAAAAACTCAAAAATGAAAAAAGCGGATCTAAGTTTAAAGGCGCATAGCCTGGAAAACTAACGAGCTTCTGAAACGAAAAAATGGGAATCCTTGTTATAAGCCGCTAATGATTGAATTTAACAAAATTCGACAGTTATTTTTGATGAAATGATTGTGTGAATGAGGCAGCTGGGGGACGTCGACAATGAAATTATGATAATCTTAAAGGCGCATAGGCTACCAAAGAGAAGATATTTTGAAACGAAAAATCTCGCTTTTCTTGTTAGGACAGTGGTGAGTACAACAGAAAGACTTCAAGTTTCAAAAAACTGCCCAAAATACCAAAAAAAGATTAATCAAAAGAATGGAACAAGGTCTGAACATTAAGAAGGGCCAGAAGAATTTCTGCGAATTTGCGTCTTTGAATACAGGAAAAAGTCTCAAAATGATGATAAATAGACCAAAAGAAAGTTAATGAAAACACTAATGCAAAAAAGAGTGTTGAGATGAGGCAACTGGGGGACGAAAAATATGATAATCTTAAAGGCGCATAGGCTACCAAACAAGATATTTTGAAACGAAAAATCTCGATTTTCTTGTTAGCACAGTGATGAGTACAACAGAAAGACTTCAAGTTTCAAAAAACGACCCATAAATTACAAAAAGGCCATCTCAAAGAATGGAACAAGGTTTGAACCTGAAGAATTTTTGCAAATTTCGCGTCTTTTTCGTATTTGAATACAGGAAAAAGTCTCAAAATGATGATAAAGAGACCAAAAAAAGGTAATGAAAACACTAAATCTGCAATAAAAAGAGTGTGTGGTTGAGGCAGCTGGGGGACGTCGACAATGAAAATATAATAATCTTAAAGGCGCATAGGCTACCAAAGAGAAAATATTTTGAAACGAAAAACCTCGATTTTCGTGGTGAGTACAACAGGAAGACTTCAAGTTTCGAAAAAAGTGCCCAAAATCCCAAAAAAATCAATGAAAAGAATGAAACAAGGTCTGAACCTGAAGAATTTTTGCAAATTTGCGTCTTTGAGTACAGGAAAAAGTCTCAAAATGACAATAAAAAGACCAAAAGAAAGGTAATGAAAACACTCAAAACTAGGGAAAAAAAAGTGTCGGAATGAGGCAGCTGGAGGGCGGCGACAGGTGCGAGGCATCCGTCGCCCCTGGGGCCATCTGTGGCCGGACCTCCGAGGAGCTGATCTCATTTCGGTTGAGCGACAGCCCTGATTGAGTCCCTACTGGGTTTGAGACCTTGAACGTTTCGAGATTGAATCGGTTCATGATTAAATTACTCAGAATGCATAACTTCTGATAGATTGAACTTGAAGTCTTCTTTACCAAAAACCTCGGACGTTTCGGATGTTTCGGAGCAGTTCTAGGGATCACTTAAGAGTTCTGACGCTACTAAAGTGGTCACTATAAATGTTCGATTCGCGTTACCAAATTTTTTTATCAGCGGAGCGCAAAAGATTCTTGTCTACTCCTTTTTTTCGCAGGTTTTTTTCAAGTTTATCTGTTTTTTTAAAAAAAGCACCCCCTCTACTGATACCTAAACTGTAATATGTCCTTGTTGAGTTTAAAAACAAAATTGAATCTATCTTTGAAAAAATGCAAAAAAACCTTTGAAAAAAGCTCAAATAATACTGATCAAAATAAAGAAAAAAAATAGCCGCAGTAGACTAGAAGCTTGTGCGCTCTAATGACAATGTGGAAAAAAAAATCACGACCTTACATAAAAAACGCTGATAGTCCCGTCCTGCTTGCAAAATTAGCAATGGAGCGAAAGAGCTCAAATTTCCGCGGCTATTTTTTCCTATAGCCAAAAAATGAGTCACAAAACCAGTCATAAGAATGTTTTCAAGGGCTCAGAGGAGGAGCAGAACCATAATATAACAACAGTTGATAACGATAAAACAAAGAAATAATGATAATAATGTACGTGGGCGCAGAAAGTCAACAGCGCGGTGTTCAGGAGGTATCCAAGGGGCGTGGCCTAATATTTTGGCGCGAGATTTGAATTTGGAGCTGGTTTTACGTAAGAAAATCGGTTATTCGTTCTATTTTCGTTAGAGGAAGGTGAATTTAACGGAAAATTCTGGAAGCTGGAAAAGGGGACACTAAAAACTGTACACGCTCAAAAAAAAAATGGAACTGCCAGTATGTTCATCGAGCACATCGAAAAAGTAATCTAGCCAACTTTCGAAAAAAATGCGAAAAAAAGCCCCCTTACAAAGATCAAATCGAAAAAAAGCTGAGAAACTCGAAAAGTTTGCTAGGTTATGGCCAATTCCCGAACGAATCCAATAAACGACTCAAAAAGCTCTTGGTAAAAGAAGTGAAGAAAAAGGGCCACGAAAAACTGTATATGCTCGAAATATACATAAAAACGAGGGGAGCGGAGCCAGGATAAGAGTAGGGACATTCTGGAGTATCCTTTCTCAAATATAAGAAGGTTTCATAGTTTGGAACTGCCAGTATATTCCTCTAGTACATCGAAAAGTAATCTAGCCAACTTTCGAAAAATGCGAAAAAAAGCCCCCCTTATACGGATCAAATTGAAAAAAAGCTCAGAAACTCGAAAAGTTTGCTAGGCTATGGCCAATTCCCGAACGAATCCAATAAATGACCCGAAAAGCTCTTGGCAAAGTATTTATGCTTGAAAAAAGGGCCACGAAAAACTGTATATGCTCGAAATATACATAAAAACGAGGGGAGCCGAGCCAGGAGAAGGGCGCGTTTGTGTGTGTATGTGTGTCTGTGTGTCACTCAATTGGCGGCGGCGGTCGGTCAAACAGAAACTGACTGACCGACCGACCGACGGCGGCCACGCCACGGCACGTCCAATTGACCTCTGCTATCAACTTCTAGGCGAGTAATTCTGAAGAGGGGGTTGCAAAAAATGAATATCCTGAAAGAGTGAGGCTAAAAAAATCAATAAAATAATTTATAAATCGATAAAACTCCCCTGAATTTTAAAAAATTGGCTGACAGAACCTGAAGACCTTCGGCGTTCAGGTACTTAGGTAAGACAGAGTGGTCCCTATAGGGTAAAAACAGCCCTGCCGGGGACGAAAAAGTCTTCCCTTAAGGGGTAAAGTTTAGATGGTCCCTATAGGAATGTAGGCTATGACCTCCAAGCCCATAAAGCTCAAGTGGTCCCTATAGAGAGAGTAGGGAAGCCCCTGTCGGGGACAAAAAAGTTCTCCCTTAAGGGGTAAAATTTAGGTAATCTCCATAGGAATTTAGGGTCTGAGGCCCATAGAGCTCAAGTGGTCCCTATAAAGACTAGAGAAGCCCTTGTCGGGGACAAAAAAGTGCTCCCTTAAGGGGTAAATTTTATATGGTCCATATAGAAGTTTTGGCTATGACCTCCAAGCCCATAAAGCTCAAGTGGTCCCTATAGAGACTAGAGAAGCCCCTGTCGGGGACAAAAAAGTTATCCCTTAAGGGGTAAAATTCAGATTGTCCCTATAGAAGTTTTGGCTATGACCTCCAAGCCCATAAAGCTCAAGTGGTCCCTATAGAGACTAGGGAAGCCTCTGTCGGGGACAAAAAAGTGCTCCCTTAAGGGGTAAAGTTTATATGGTCCATATAGAAGTTTTGGGTATGACCTCCAAGCCCATAAGGCTCAAGTGGTCCCTATAGGGATCTTTAAACTTTTTTATGTTCCCCTACGTGGGCAACTTTTGCAAGCTTTAGTACCCCTATAGGGGGAGGTAAAGTGGTCCCTAGAGGGCCCCTATAGAGACCACTTTGGCGTCCCTAAGTGAAGTTTACGAAAAACTATCGGAAACTGATGAAAATTTCAGAAAATGGCTAATAAAATCTAAACACCATCCTTAAGGTAGATCAGTTACAGAAGAATTTGAAGTCTCGGAAAAAACCCAAAAAGCCAAACTCGAACCAAAACTTCAAACAAAACAGAAAAAGAGCGATAGAAAGAGAAAATCGGGTTATGCAAATGATCGGATCGGCGGCCGATTCCAAATCGTTCAATACGGTTTCTGACCGCTCACGTAGGTTAGGTAAACCAATAAAAAAGACGCGCCGAAAGATTTTTTCGAGGAAATCTCCAGGACCTTCTTTGAGAAGTTTCGAAAAGGTCAAGGTGATTCGAAACTGGAAAAGAGATTTTTAAAAAATCTGGCACCTTTTTTCAAAAACTAGTCAAATAAAAAAGTAATAATTCATGTATTTTAAGAAAAAAATCACTATAGTGTTAAAAAAAAAGTTATAAATTTGGGACTTTCACCTGTCTTGGACTGTAGGAAAACAAAGGTTTAAGAAGAAAAAAAGAGTAAGATATCAATTTCCCAAAGTAAAAGAGAAAAAGCCGAAAATTCGATGCAGCAGGCCAAGTGGCTACTCTAGGGCCCATCAGTTCAAACTCATTGAAGTAGTCGGCTCCTGACCGCATAGATAAATAAATTCAGCAAAAGCTGAAGGTCAAGTGGTCACTCTAGGGTCCATCAGTTCAAATTGATTAAAGTAGTCGGCTACTGGCCGCATAGATGGATAAGATTAGCAGAAGCTGAAGGTCAAGTGGTCACTCTAGGGTCCATCAGTTCATATTGATTAAAGTAGTCGGCTACTGGCCGCATAGATGGATGAGATTAGCAGAAGCGGAAAACCAAGTGGTCACTCCAGGATCCAAAATGAGGAAAAAGCTCAAACTTTATCTGACCCTTCAGACCCAAAATGAGCAGGCCAAGTGGTCACTCTAGGACCCAGAGAATCCTATCATTCTCTAAAATCAGATAAGCAGTTAAAGTCCAAGTGGTCACTCCAGGATCCATAGAAACCCTCGAGGACAAGTGGTCACTTTAGAGTTCGTAATCTCAGAACCTTACTTAGTAGCTGACATGAGGAAGAGGCACAAAAACTCTCTGACAAGCAGAGCTGAAGGCCAAGTGGTCCCTCTAGGGCCCAAAAGTCAACATCTTCTCAGATTCTTGAGAAACAACTGACATGAGGAGTACACATCCGACCCTCTGGATTCAGAATGAGCATAGCTGAAGGTCAAGTGGTCACTCTAGGTTCCAAAAAGTTCATCACCTCCTCAGAGTCTTGAGAAACAACTGACATGAGGAGTAAACACAAACTTTCTCTGATCCTCTGGATACAGAATAAGCATAGCTGAAGACCAAGCGGTCACTCTAGGGTCCAAATAGTTCAACAAGATCAGAGTCTCAAGAAACAACGGACATGAGGAGTGAACACAAACTTTCTCTGAAAAAGCAGAGCTGAAGGCCAAGTGGTCACTCTAGGGCCCAAAAAGGACAACACCTTCTCAGAGTCTTGAGAAACAACTGACATGAGGAGTACACATCTGACCCTCTGGGTTCAGAAAAAGCAGAGTTGAAGGCCAAGTGGTCACTCTAGGGTCCGTAATCTCAGAACCTTAATAAAGAGCTGACATGAGGAAGAGGCACAAAAACTATCTGACAGAGGAATAAGCAGAGCTGAAGGCCAAGTGGTCACTCTAGGGTCCAAATAGTTCAACAAGATCAGAGTCTCAAGAAACAACGGACAGGAGGAGTGAACACAAACTATCTCTGAAAAAGCAGAGCTGAAGGCCAAGTGGTCACTCTAGGACCCTAAAAGTTCATCACCTCCTCAGAGTCTTGAGAAACAACTGACATGAGGAGTACACATCTGACCCTCTGGGTTCAGAATAAGCAGAGCTGAAGGTCAAGTGGTCACTCTAGGGCCCAAAAAGTTCGAAACCCCAATCACGTCAAGGAGAATGGGCGGTCGCCGCCGACAGAGTGTCAAATTGCAAAAAACCGCGTGCGGGGCGACAACAACATGCAAAAAAAGATTGGAAGATGGCGTGAACTGGAAACTGTCGGTCCAGCCGTCGCCGTGTAGTAGTCTCTCTCCCATACACATACACACACGGCATTTTAACGCGAACGCGAACGATTTGGCGCGCGTCCGCGATCGTCGAAAGGGAACGACGAGGAGGAGGAATCGATTGCGCGTAATAATGCGATATAACATTTTGTCTCTCTCTCGTTGCCAGAAGCATTATTGGGGTTCGGGCCAGCTTCTTGGACGATTCGAGCAGAATAAATGGTTATTGAACGAACGAAAAAGGAACATCCATAAAAGCTTCGCAAGAATTTCAGATTCGCATCGAATTTTCGAACGGCTTGAGCTAGAGAAATGGTTAGGGGACGTCTGAAAATTACAAAAAAGGCTGATAACCTTCGGAAAAGCTTCTGGAATAATGAGTATTGATCCTAGAAACGTTGCCAAGTCATTGGTCAGCTTTCAGGACAGCTTTTGGAACTGTTTGAGCAGAAGGGATGGTTCTAGAACCTCGGAAGACAGGAAGAACGTCGATAACTCGCAGAGAAGGTTCTAAAGTAATTCTGATCAGACATATCATTCCAAAACCTTCTTCGAGTCATCAGAAAACTTCTTGGGTAGTTTTGGAAAGCAGGAGGAAAGGTTCTAGAACATCTGAAGACGGAAAAAAGACTGATAACTTCCAGAAGAGCTCCTCGAGGGATCTGGATGGTTTGAGCAGAAAAACGATTCCAGAGCGTCCTCAAGTCATTGGAAAACTTCTTGTTTTGGAACGACTTGAGAAAAAAATAATGGTTCTGGAACATGAACGGGCTCGCAGAGAAGATTCTCGAGTAATTCGGATTGTTGGAGCAAAATGACGGTTCCGAAAACGACATCGGATTGCTGGCCAGCTTCTTGGGAAGTTTCGAAACGATTCAAGCCAAGAAAATGATTCGATCTGAGAAAAATGGCTGGAAGAGAACTTGATCAAGTAGTTCGTCAACAGTTTTAGAAAGTCAGGTTATTCTATTCTTGGGTGAGAATGTTCTAAAAACCAGCCATGTACCCGAAGAAGGTTCTGAAAGTCTCAACATGCAAAGCTTATCAGTTTTCGAATGCCTCAAGACCCAAAAGAAGCCTGTTTTGACGGATTTCGAGAGTCTCCTTCGACTCTGAGATATCCTTTTTCGAAAACTAGGAAGTTTTGTCTTCATCTAGCCCATCGATAAGTATTCTGGTCAATTTCCAGGAACATCAAAATAAAACGACCTCAAGAACTCGGGAGAAACTGAAGCAGTCAAGTGGAAGAACTTGTAAAGCCTTCAGAATTAGATAAAAAGTGCTCCGCCCACGGAATTACTCTCACGAGCTTGTCAAGCGAAAAAATTCAGACTGCTTTAGCTTCACCTCAGAATTTTTAGTGGAACACCGACAAGGTGAGGAAATGATCTGCAGGTGATTTGAAACTCCAAAAACCCGGGGGAAGCTTCTAACAAAGTTATTGTGAGATTACTCCCCAGTCTTTTAAGAGTTATAAGGCTATGAAAATGTTCTTAAGAAGCTCAAAAAATCAGAACAAAAGAGCCTTTAGAAGACTGACAGATTCTAGGAAAACCCTCGAAAAAAAGTCGGGCAACAATGGGAGCGGTCATGCGTGAAAAAATCTGACGTCAAGCTTGAGAAGGTTCAAAAGTTTTCTAGTCTCTTTTGGGGTCAGAAATTGACAAAGTCTGAGCTTCACCTACTAAAAAAAGTAGAAAAAAATCAAATAAAAATAGTGGGAAAGTCAAGTTTGAATAGACTTTAAAAAAATTCGTTTTTTTCCGGTTAAAATCAGTATATAAGCTTTTAAAAAAACATTTCTAAGGTAAAAATCTGAAAAAGTTAAAAATTTTTTTAAAAAGGAATATAAGCCCTAAAAACATGAATTTACTCGACAAAGAAAATAGAAAAGCTTAGAATCTTGAGATCTTATAAACTTACAAAAACTCGAAAAAGTTCGAAAAAAAGTCTTAAGGCGTCCAGAAAATCAGAAATATTCAAAAAATGGATATTTTTAGTTGGAATTTCGAAAAAAGGTCAGGGCACAACCGAAAATCCATAACTTAAGTTTTTGAAAAGCCTCAAAGTCTTAGGAAAAAATTTTATACGGCTTAAAAGCTCTGAAAAAGCTCTTGAAAATCTCGAAAACTTAGAAAATTCTGAAAAAAGTCTTCAAAAAAATCCAAAATCTTTTCCCGTTGAATATCTTCAAAAATACCGTCTATACTTCTGAAATTGCTCTAAGACGACTTTTAAAACCCAAAAAAAGTCAATGAAACCCCTAAGAAAGACAGAAAATGATCAAAGAAGAGGGCGACAAAAAAAAACCAGAAAAAAGGCGAAAATTGGCATTGCGCCATCTCTTCTCACAGTGTATTATAATGTACTATGCGAACACTTTCTCTGTTTTTCTTAGTTTTTGCAGGAGGAACGTAAGGAAAAAGGAGTAATCCCTAAAGTGCTTGTTGAGCATGATTTACGAGGCAAAATACCTTTTTTGAAAAAAAGAAACTTCTTATTTTCCAAAATAAAGTTTTTTAATGAAAAATAATGATGAACATTCAACTTTTCATAGAAGAAAACTATAAAAAAAAACGTGAAAAAATCCAAAAAGTATTCCCTAGAGTGTTTTGAGCATGATTTACGAGGCCAAATCATTCTTTTTCTAGTCAAAAAAAGCTTCTTAGAGGAACCGAGGCGTAAAAAAGCAATATTCCAGGCCGGCGACCCCGTGGGTCGGTTTGTTTGGATAAACGCCAGCCAAGTGCCATTTTCAATGGGAATTCCAGAAGGCTGGGAATACGTTTCACAGCGATTTCAGTGATAACAATGTTTTGGGAAGATTGGACGGGTTCGAGACTTTGAAAACATTCAAAACGTCAAAACATGCTGAGTGATGTTTGAAAAGCTTTCAGACCGTCAAGAGATTTCACAAAACTATGAAATTTCTGGAAAAACCGTTTAAGTTTTTAGAGTTCATGACATCATAGTCTATGAGTGTAGCTCAAAAAATTGTTTAAAAAAAGACATTTTTTGAAGTTTTTCGACAGCAGATAAGCCCCCTACCCCGTTAGATTCATAATTTAAAAAAAAAAATCGATACTGAAAAAAAAGAAAGTTAAAAATAGCCTTCGAAATGGCGGTTCCCAACCCTCCAAGGGGTCATCAACAAATTTGACAAAGTACTCGGGGCGTGTGTATGATCAGACTGGACAAAGATCGTCCGACACGCCTTTCTTTTTTTTGCAAAATTTCGACAGAACAACAGTTTTTTTTTTCTTGGTCTGAATCACATTCTAATCGTTCCTTGCGACCCGGAAGAACCATAAAAATCTTACGAGAATAAGAATTATTTGGAAAAAAATGTCCTTTTTCAAGGCTTTTCGAGTCTATAAAAATCCCTTCAAATTCATGTAACTTTTTTGGTTTCCCATATAGTTTAGGTCAATGATAGTTCTGGAAAACGAGAAAGAAATTAATAAAAATTCGAAAAAAATTTCATTTAAAAATAATAATTATAAAACTTGTTTTTTTGAACTTCAAAATGACGTCATTAGGAAGCACCATATGACGTCATAATTTCAGTTCAGCCGCGTCGCAGACCATCGTGCGACTCGGCTAATCATGACGTCATAAACTATGAAAGCAGAGGGATAGTAATCTACGTGATTCAGACGATTTTTTTGTGACAATTTTCAAAAAACTTTTGCCGGGTCGCATAAAACAGCGACGCGGCTATGCAACTCGGCTAAAATTGCCTACGAGAAACAAAGGTTAAGCTTACTACGTCGATGAATTATGAATGAACGAGTTACTAACGCCTGAATAAAAAAATATGTAAGCTTAAAAGTTTTGCGACGCGGCTAAGTGACTCGGCTAAGTGACTCGGCTAAGCGACTCGGCTGAATAATTTTGAAGAACTTGAGAAGAAGATGCGGTACAAAATAGTGTGGGAAACAGTGAAATCGTAGAAAATCAGCCAGATTTTTGGATTAACGACGCGGATATGTGACTTTGCTGTTAAAAGAAAGATCTCAAAATTGGATGAAAATGTCCAAATTATAAAAAGGTCTCGGCTGGAAAGCCGTGCGACTCGGCTAAAACCGTCTCAAAATCCCAAACCGCGCTACAAACGGGTCCAAAACCAAAGCCGATTTACACGGCCGAAAAAAAAGAAACTTCTTTTTTTTTGTCTGATGCTATAGAGTACACTGGAGATCATAAACGTCGACATTCAAACAATCGTCGGAGACGGTGGGCGAATAGTGATAAACGACGAATTCTCAAATGCAATTCAAAACGCGTTTCTTCTCTGTCGGTTCGTTTTGTGTCGGGAAATTTACGCCTTGAACAAGGGCGGCCGGATCTCTCCTCTCTATCCAATTATACATGTACAGTCGCAAACACACGATCCCATCATCACTGCCTAACGAGAAATTGATGCGTAAAGCAAAAGAGGAAAATGGGCAAAAAAAGTTTCGACCACGGCAGGATTCGAACCTGCAATCTTCTGCTCCGTAGGCAGACGCGTTATCCATTGCGCCACGCGGCCGGTTGACACTTGGCACTTGCCAGAACAACTACGTGTCTTCTGAAGGCCGTCAATTACACTTCCTCACCATAGAAAAGGTGTGATCAATCAACTTTACACTTGCTTATCACCAAGTTCTGAACTTTTTGATGATAGCAACTGATAAGAAAAGCGTTCCAACAGAAAGAGATCAACGAAAGCGTCTTTGGCTTGCACCTGGCCGCGTGGCGCAATGGATAACGCGTCTGCCTACGGAGCAGAAGATTGCAGGTTCGAATCCTGCCGTGGTCGAAATTTTTTGTTTTTAAAACTTGCTGAAACTAAACTACAAGAGAGAGAAGCGAAAAGAACTGAAACAAGAGCGGAAGTACGGCGGAGATGGTCAAAACCTCTTTTTTCAAGTAAATTATGGCGCAATGGATAGTTCTCTAAACTAGGGGTCAAAGCTTTCAAGTTCGAGTCCTGCCTAGGTCAGAAGGGAGTTTCGCGGCTTTTCCTTCAAACTTGGGCTTCTTCAAGAAAGAGTCAGGAACGGAATGATCGTAAAAGATAAGGGAACAAGAAGAAAAGCAGGACAAATAAAAGATTAGCGTGGTGCAGTGGACATTACGCCTGTGTATCGCTCAACTGCCCACAGGTTCGAGGCCTGCCAAGGTCTAAATTGATTTTTGCAGCTTTTTCTTCCAACTTTGGTTCTTCAAGAGTCCAGAATCGAAAACCGTACATAACGCCGAAGAAACAAGAAGAAAAGCAGGAATACAGAAAAATATCAGCATGGCGCACTGTGTATCACGCCTGTCTATCGCTCAACTGCTCACAGGTTCGAGTCCTGCCAAGGTCGAAATGATTTTTGCAGCTTTTCCTTCCAACTTTGGCTTCTTCAAGTAAGAGTTCAGAACGGAAGGATCGTGAAAGATGAGGGAACAAGAAGAAAAGCAGGACTAAAGAAAAAGATCCGCGTGGCGCACTGGATATCACGCATGTCTATCGCTCAACTGCTCACAGGTTCGAGTTCTGCCTAGGTCAGAATGATTTTTGTAGCTTTTTCTCCAAAATTAGTCTTCTTCAAGTAAGAGTCCAGAATCGAAAAACCGTACAAAAACGTCGAGGAAACAAGAAAAGCAGGACAAAAAAAAAAGATTATCGTGTGTTTGGCGGGAAAAGCATGCAAATTCGCGCCCCACGGCCAAAATGTTTCGAGTGCTGCTGCTGCTGCTGTTGTGGCCTTCTTCCTCGTATCTATCGCTACAAAAAGCAAACACTCACAAAACGGCCGCCAAGAGGGGCCCGTCGTCTTCAGGAAATACGACCAATCCTTGGATTTTTTTCTTCTTCTTTTTTCGCTCGTTGTTTTTCAGTTTCTTTTTTTCGAAGCGCTTCAGAAAGTGTTATGAGGATTTGTGCATACAAATGATAGAGTGGGAGGCTTCGAATCGGATGAAAACAGAGGGAAATTGAGCCGGTCGCTACAAAAAACCTTGCAGAAGTATTTTTGAGATCGAAGAATCTGTACTAGGTCTTACAAACTCTTACAAATGCATTTTTTAAAAAATTCAAGTTTAAAAGTTTTAGTCTGAAATAGAGTCCAAGAAAACAGAAAGTTACAAGTAAAGAATAATTTTCCTTAAAAAGACCGCTGGATTCAAAAAATCAAGCTCAAAATTTTAAAGGGAACTGAATTTTTTTTCTTTGATTCACAGTCAAAGCTGGTCAAAGCACTTCTACTCTTTTGAAGATAAAAAGGTGAAAACGAAAATTTATTCTCAACCAAAAAAAATAGCTACTAGGCTGTCCCATTTTCTTCAAATAGAGTATGGAAAAGCGGAACCCTACAGAAAAAATTTTTTATTTTTTTCAATTTTAAAAGCTCGGTCCAGTTAGTTCAAAATAAACTAAAATTCGTGAAATCCCACCAAAATTCCTTTTTTCACAAGCTCAAGTTCATAAAAGTCCATTCAACCAACATTTTTCACAAATCCCAAGCTTCAGAGTCCAGAAAAAGCAATTTTTGTTGACCCTACTTTAGATAAAAGAACCAAGTTTTCATTAATTATCTTTCCTCAATAATCGTAAAATCTAGAAGAAGCTAAGCGGAAAAAAAATCTGGTAAACGGAGAAATATGGGAATGGGCCTAGCGGTGCCATCAATTTGCACTCGAGCGCCATTTCGCTGAAAATCCCCGCCGCTTTGCCTTTTTGACATTTTAAGAGGGCGAAAAGGGCTTACCTTTCAGGGCTTTATGCATTTACGAGTTTCGTGGGCGAACGGGTCTTGTAGGACCTTTCGAGGATTTTTCGGACGCCTGCAAAATGGAAAAAAGGAAAATCTAGAATGGACTGTAGAAATAAGATCAAAAAATACGATGATTGCATCTTTTTTTTAAGATGGAAAAGGGATAACTCAAAAAAAAAACTTTTATCAGCGCTAGACACATAAAATTGGTTAAAAAATACAGATTTTGGAAGAAGAATTACCAGTAAAAACACACGGAAATCTAAGAAAATTGAAAGGAATAACTGAAAAACAGTAGGAAATTTGACCAGGGAATGGTCTCAGCTCACAGTGGGACTTCTGAATGAGACCATGTTTTCTAGATGTAGTTTTTCACGCTGATTCCAAATCCGGTCTCAAAAGCTGCCCAATACGTCTGTGAAAAAAGTTATATACCATCAAAAGTCGATAATCTCATAGTCTCCGATCGAGCTCATTTTTGGAGGGTATGTATATCACGAAAATCGATTTGACTTTTTCCGAAAAAAGTTCGGAGACTATGAGATTTTCGACTTTTGAGGGTCCATGACTTTTTTCATAGACGTATTGGGCAGCTTTTGAGACTGGATCAGCATAAAAAACTACATCTAGAAAACATGGTCTCATTCAGAAATCCCCCTGTGAACCGAGACCATTCCCTGGTCTATTGCGAATTTTATAATGACAAGAAAAAAATAAGCAAAAACTTTGTATTATAGTCTGTTCAGATTTTAAATGTGAAGTGGTCGCTGAAGCTCCGCCCCCTAATAGCGCGATAAACCAATCAGAGAGCGAGCCATCCACAGAGTGTTTTTGAATGACGTCATTCTACTTGACATTCAAAATCTGAACAGACTATACTTCCTTTTTTTTCACAAAACCTTGTTTGACATAAATTCGGACCGCTGGAACTTTTTGAAGCAGACTTTGAGTCTGCCTAACTTTCTCGTCTTTTTTTCCTTTGAAAGTTGGATTTTGGTCTGCTTAACTGTCTTCTTTCATAATGTATCAGGAAAAGCCCAAGCTTCTACTTTTAACAGTAATAAAATCGCTTCAAAATTCCGAAAATTTTTAAAAACTTGAAAAAATGACTATAAATTTTCAAATATTACGAAACAACAACGCTTCAGAAAGATCTCAATATTTTTTCCTCCATTTTTTTTTCTGAAATATCTCAAATAGCACAAGGAAACCCGTCAGTTTTCATGAGCTCACGAAATTTTTGATCGATCGAATTCTCATCAAACTTCCTAACACTATAGCCTATCGTTGAGCCTTTGGAACAAAGAAATCGGAAAAAATCGCTTTCAGAATTCTCATCAAAATGTTCGACGTCTTGGTAGGCTTCCTCGGCGAGGGCGTTTATCAAGGAGACGTCGTCAGAAGAAGACGAAGACCTGGAAATTCAGATGATTTTCGTGAAAAGCGTCAGAAACTCACCACCACTCAGTATGCTTCGAGAATTTCCCCGACCTCAGGGACTTGTAAAATTGAGTGACAACTTCGGGGCCTGGAAATTCTTTTTTTTAAACTGATTATTACTGAAATTTGCTCCCTTTTACTGAAATTTGCTGCTTTTTCACTGTTCGACGCGGCTATGCGACTCGACTAACCTTTTCATCTAAAGTTGCGACGCGGCTGCACGACCTGGCTACGTGACTCGGCTAACTACTTCATTTCACTGTTCGACGCGGCTATGCGACTCGGCTAACTACTTCATCTAAAGTTGCGACGCGGCTGCACGACCTGGCTACGTGACTCGGCTAACTACTTCATCTAAACTTGCGACGCGGCTATGCGACTCGGCTAACCTCTCCATCTAAACTTGCGACGCGGCTATGCGACTCGGCTAACCTCTTCATCTAAACTTGCGACGCGGCTACGCGACTCGGCTAACTACTTCATCTAAACTTGCGACGCGGCTATGCGACTCGGCTAACTACTTCATTTCAAAGTTCGACGCGGCTATGCGACTCGGCTAACCTCTCATCTAAACTTGCGACGCGGCTACGCGACTCGGCTAACCTCTCATCTAAACTTGCGACGCGGCTGTACGACTCGGCTAACTACTTCATCTAAACTTGCGACGCGGCTACGCGACTCGGCTAACTTCTTCATCTAAACTTGCGACTCGGCTATCCTCTTCATCTCTTGCGACGCGGCTACACGACTCGGCTAACTACTTCATCTAAACTTGCAACGCGGCTACACGACTCGGCTAACTACTTCATCTAAACTTGCAACGCGGCTACGCGACTCGGCTAACTACTTCATCTAAACTTGCGACGCGGCTACGCGACTCGGCTAACTTCTTCATCTAAACTTGCGACGCGGCTACGCGACTCGGCTAACTTCTTCATCTAAACTTGCGACTCGGCTATCCTCTTCATCTCTTGCGACGCGGCTACACGACTCGGCTAACTACTTCATCTAAACTTGCAACGCGGCTACACGACTCGGCTAACTACTTCATCTAAACTTGCAACGCGGCTACGCGACTCGGCTAACTACTTCATCTAAACTTGCGACGCGGCTACGCGACTCGGCTAACTTCTTCATCTAAACTTGCGACGCGGCTACGCGACTCGGCTAACTTCTTCATCTAAACTTGCGACTCGGCTATCCTCTTCATCTCTTGCGACGCGGCTACACGACTCGGCTAACTACTTCATCTAAACTTGCGACGCGGCTATGCGACTCGGCTAACCTCTTCATCTAAACTTGCGACGCGGCTATGCGACTCGGCTAACCTCTCATCTAAACTTGCGACGCGGCTACGCGACTCGGCTAACTTCTTCATCTAAACTTGCGACGCGGCTACGCGACTCGGCTAACTTCTTCATCTAAACTTGCGACTCGGCTATCCTCTTCATCTCTTGCGACGCGGCTACACGACTCGGCTAACTACTTTATCTAAACTTGCGACGCGGCTACGCGACTCGGCTAACTTCTTCATCTAAACTTGCGACGCGGCTACGCGACTCGGCTAACTTCTTCATCTAAACTTGCGACTCGGCTATCCTCTTCATCTCTTGCGACGCGGCTACACGACTCGGCTAACTACTTCATCTAAACTTGCAACGCGGCTACGCGACTCGGCTAACTACTTCATCTAAACTTGCGACGCGGCTACGCGACTCGGCTAACTTCTTCATCTAAACTTGCGACGCGGCTACGCGACTCGGCTAACTTCTTCATCTAAACTTGCGACTCGGCTATCCTCTTCATCTCTTGCGACGCGGCTACACGACTCGGCTAACTACTTCATCTAAACTTGCAACGCGGCTACACGACTCGGCTAACTACTTCATCTAAACTTGCGACGCGGCTGTACGACTCGGCTAACTACTTCATCTAAACTTGCGACGCGGCTATGCGACTCGGCTAACTACTTCATCTAAACTTGCGACGCGGCTACGCGACTCGGCTAACTTCTTCATCTAAACTTGCGACTCGGCTATCCTCTTCATCTCTTGCGACGCGGCTACACGACTCGGCTAACTACTTCATCTAAACTTGCGACGCGGCTACACGACTCGGCTAACTACTTCATCTAAACTTGCAACGCGGCTACGCGACTCGGCTAACTACTTCATCTAAACTTGCGACGCGGCTACGCGACTCGGCTAACTTCTTCATCTAAACTTGCGACGCGGCTACGCGACTCGGCTAACTTCTTCATCTAAACTTGCGACTCGGCTATCCTCTTCATCTCTTGCGACGCGGCTACACGACTCGGCTAACTACTTCATCTAAACTTGCAACGCGGCTACACGACTCGGCTAACTACTTCATCTAAACTTGCGACGCGGCTGTACGACTCGGCTAACTACTTCATCTAAACTTGCGACGCGGCTACGCGACTCGGCTAACTTCTTCATCTAAACTTGCGACGCGGCTACGCGCCTCGGCTAACTTCTTCATCTAAACTTGCGACTCGGCTATCCTCTTCATCTCTTGCGACGCGGCTACACGACTCGGCTAACTACTTCATCTAAACTTGCGACGCGGCTATGCGACTCGGCTAACCTCTTCATCTAAACTTGCGACGCGGCTACACGACTCGGCTAACTACTTCATCTAAACTTGCAACGCGGCTACACGACTCGGCTAACTACTTCATTTAAACTTGCAACGCGGCTACGCGACTCGGCTAACTACTTCATCTAAACTTGCGACGCGGCTACGCGACTCGGCTAACTTCTTCATCTAAACTTGCGACTCGGCTATCCTCTTCATCTCTTGCGACGCGGCTACACGACTCGGCTAACTACTTCATCTAAACTTGCGACGCGGCTATGCGACTCGGCTAACCTCTTCATCTAAACTTGCGACGCGGCTATGCGACTCGGCTAACCTCTCATCTAAACTTGCGACGCGGCTACGCGACTCGGCTAACCTCTTCATCTAAACTTGCGACGCGGCTATGCGACTCGGCTAACCTCTCATCTAAACTTGCGACGCGGCTATGCGACTCGGCTAACCTCTTCATCTAAACTTGCGACGCGGCTATGCGACTCGGCTAACCTCTTCATCTAAACTTGCGACGCGGCTATGCGACTCGGCTAACCTCTTCATTTCAAAGTTCGACGCGGCTATGCGACTCGGCTAACCTCTTCATTTCAAAGTTCGACGCGGCTATGCGACTCGGCTAACCTCTTCATCTAAACTTGCGACGCGGCTATGCGACTCGGCTAACCTCTTCATCTAAACTTGCGACGCGGCTACGCGACTCGGCTAACCTCTCATCTAAACTTGCGACGCGGCTACGCGACTCGGCTAACCTCTTCATCTAAACTTGCGACGCGGCTATGCGACTCGGCTAACCTCTCATCTAAACTTGCGACGCGGCTATGCGACTCGGCTAACCTCTTCATCTAAACTTGCGACGCGGCTATGCGACTCGGCTAACCTCTTCATCTAAACTTGCGACGCGGCTATGCGACTCGGCTAACCTCTTCATTTCAAAGTTCGACGCGGCTATGCGACTCGGCTAACCTCTTCATCTAAACTTGCGACGCGGCTACGCGACTCGGCTAACCTCTTCATCTAAACTTGCGACGCGGCTATGCGACTCGGCTAACCTCTTCATTCAAACTTGCGACGCGGCTATGCGACTCGGCTAACTACTTCATCTAAACTTGCGAGGCGGCTATGCTACTCGGCTAACTACTTCATTTCAAAGGTCGACGCGGCTATGCGACTCGGCTAACTACTTCATCTAAACTTGCGACGCGGCTACGCGACTCGGCTAACCTCTTCATCTAAACTTGCGACGCGGCTACGCGACTCGGCTATCCTCTTCATCTCTTGCGACGCGGCTACACGACTCGGCTAACTACTTCATCTAAACTTGCGACGCGGCTATGCGACTCGGCTAACCTCTTCATCTAAACTTGCGACGCGGCTACACGACTCGGCTAACTACTTCATCTAAACTTGCAACGCGGCTACACGACTCGGCTAACTACTTCATCTAAACTTGCAACGCGGCTACGCGACTCGGCTAACTACTTCATCTAAACTTGCGACGCGGCTACGCGACTCGGCTAACTTCTTCATCTAAACTTGCGACGCGGCTACGCGACTCGGCTAACTTCTTCATCTAAACTTGCGACTCGGCTATCCTCTTCATCTCTTGCGACGCGGCTACACGACTCGGCTAACTACTTCATCTAAACTTGCAACGCGGCTACACGACTCGGCTAACTACTTCATCTAAACTTGCGACGCGGCTGTACGACTCGGCTAACTACTTCATCTAAACTTTCGACGCGGCTACGCGACTCGGCTAACTTCTTCATCTAAACTTGCGACGCGGCTACGCGACTCGGCTAACTTCTTCATCTAAACTTGCGACTCGGCTATCCTCTTCATCTCTTGCGACGCGGCTACACGACTCGGCTAACTACTTCATCTAAACTTGCGACGCGGCTATGCGACTCGGCTAACCTCTTCATCTAAACTTGCGACGCGGCTATGCGACTCGGCTAACCTCTCATCTAAACTTGCGACGCGGCTACGCGACTCGGCTAACCTCTTCATCTAAACTTGCGACGCGGCTATGCGACTCGGCTAACCTCTTCATTTCAAAGTTCGACGCGGCTATGCGACTCGGCTAACCTCTTCATCTAAACTTGCGACGCGGCTATGCGACTCGGCTAACCTCTTCATCTAAACTTGCGACGCGGCTATGCGACTCGGCTAACCTCTTCATTTCAAAGTTCGACGCGGCTATGCGACTCGGCTAACCTCTTCATTTCAAAGTTCGACGCGGCTATGCGACTCGGCTAACTACTTCATCTGAACTTGCAGACGCCATTATAGATAGCACTCCCAAAAGTCTCTTGGCGCATTCCGCGTGCGTGCGCGCGCCAATTCAAATTTCGTCTCTTGGACTAGATTTACAGGCTTCCAGTGTATGGTTCTTTTTGTATAATTTTTCTTACTTATTCATTTCCAGTTTTCTTTTATTTAATATTGACTCATTTAGGGAATCTAATGCCGTGTTCAAAGTAATTTCCGCGAAATGCAAAATACCCGTTAGAGAAAGGAAAAGATCACTAAATTTTGGAGAGTCAGAGATCATTTTGCATTTCGCGGAAATTACTTTGAACACGGCATAAAACTTTATTCAAGAAAGTTTTTTTCTTGTTTTAGCGCCAATTCAAATTTTCGCCTTCACTCACTTGCACAGGCAAATGGGGAAGGTACCATAATGTGCCCACAAATATACCTCTTAAAATGAATCTTGAATATTCCATAATATGTCCATCGTGAGACGTCGAGCATAAATTTTAGCTCTAGCTGACCAGGGAATGGTGTCTGGTCGCAGTTGGATTTCAGAATGAGACCCAGTTCACTAAATGTAGTTTTTCATGCTGTTTCCAAATCTGTTCTCAAAAAATGCCGCGGAGGTCCGTGAAAAAAGTTTTTTTTTTTGGAAAAGTTTTTGAGCGGAGATACGATTTTTCAAAGCTCCTCGCATGATAAGGAAATGTGCTGCTGAAAATTCATTCTTCGTTTCTCATGAGCGAATGGAGAAAAACGTGTACAGCTTATACAAATTTCAAAGGAAGTCTGAAAACAGAATGAATAAAAATTAGAAAACCGAAGTGACTAAAAATAATAATAATAAAAACGTTGGAAGCATTTCCAGGCTACTCGGTAGCAATCAAAAATTTCAGGTACTCTGCCCATATATCCAGTTATCATAGATATGATACCCGGGTAAAATTAATTGGAAGTTTTTTTATGCAAGAAAAATTATACAAAAAGAACCATATACTGGAAGCCTGTAAATCTAGTTCAAGAGACGAAATTTGAATTGGCGCGCACACGCACGCGGAACGCGCCAAGAGGAGACTTTTGGGAGTGCTATCTATAATGGCGTCTCTGAACTTGCGACGCGGCTAAACCCCTCACCAATCAATAAAGTTTGATCCACCATTTGCGAAGTCGCCTTTTTCAGGTCATTCTGATCCAAAGCCGAATGATAACCGGCAAAAACTGCCAAACCTTCAAAAAACTTCAAATTAATCCTAAAAAACTGAAAATCGATTCACCTGTATCGCGACAAATGGCCGCATAATTCCTCAGCAACAAAATATTGTTGATATCCGATCTCAACAGACATTTCGCCCGCTTGTAATTCTTTTCCTTGTAATCCAACATCGCCAGGAGCCCCAGGGCATAACTGACGTCCTTTTCGTCGGTTATTGCGATTGTGACGTCACCGAATCTTTTATATTCGTAGAGCAGGAAGCCGAGATTCGCGGATGACTGTAATCGATCATTTTCTTTGGCTTGAGAACTTCCAAAAGATTTTTTTTAAGGGAAAACTGAGAACTGTAAAACACTCGCAAAATTCCAATTCTAGAAGAAAATTGGTAATGAGAGTCTTATTTTTTTCTGAATCCAAAATTTGGCTCAAAATCTTTCCACACCTAAAAAGCTGTGTTTCAAAAAAATAAATAGCGTTAATTAATGATATTTACAGTTTTTTTGAAATAAATTTTTTTCTTTTTCTTTTTTTCCCGGTTTTTTTCTAAAAAAAGTAGTACTTATTTTCAACTGAACAAACTCTAGAGTAAATCAAAATATTCTCCAACTAACCTACTATTTCGTGAATGAATAGAAAAAAATCAAGTTGGAAAAAGGAGAATTTTTTTGAGGAAAAAGCTCAAGTTTCGAATTTGAAAGAACAATCTCAAAATGAATATCCAGGATGGTAGGAAGGAATTTTGGATCCACGAATATTTGTGAGCGTTAATTGTGCATACACCAACCTTGGATGCTCGAATCTTTGAAAATTTGAATCTTTGAAAACAAATTCTTGGGAATATTCACTTCTTTTCTGATTTTTTATATTGTTCCAATTTTTTGGAGAACGGAAATTGATGGAGAATGTATACAGAGTGAATGAAAATGTGGTAGCCGTTCTGCAGTGAATATTTGACTACGTGTATGCGAGAAAGACGCATTATTTGATAAAAAGTTAGTTGAAAACAATCACACAGTGTTCATTTGAGGTCGAAACACGACATCCTCACAATAGAACGACAAAGGAAAAAAAAAATGAAGGAAAGAACAGATGGAAATTCAAAAAAGAGGGGAATATTCCCAAGAATCGTTTTCAAAGATTCAAATTTTCCAAGATTCGAGCATCCAAGATTGGTGTATGAACAATTAACGCTCCCAAATATTCGGGGAACCAAAATTCCTTCCTACCATCATATTCAGCAGTTGAATTGAAAATTTCCTACCTTCTAGATTCAAGTTTTGGTTTGGAAATGTCTTTCTTTGTCACGTTTACATAGCTTTTTTCATTCTAACGGCTAAAAAGGATATTATTCAAAGTTTCTTCATTTACTTTGCATCCAACCGAAAAAGTGTTCAAAAAAGCATCAATTTTTACAAGAAGAGACTATACGTCGAATTTTCAAAAGATGATTAGAAAAATCAATTTGAAAAATAGACAACTTTAATAGTAAACTTTAAAGTTCAATTTCACCTCAACAAACTGTACATAAAACTAAATTTCACTAAATAAAAATAAAACCAACCTTGGCGACCACGAAAAACTCGACGCGAACTTGATTTCGATCGAATCGAGATTTGGCGGCCCAAGTGACCCGAGCATTTTTCCGAAGTTCATAATCTCCAGCTTCAGTTTCGATGAAAATGACGATTCCAGCAAAATCATCATTTTTCGATCCCATACTATTAAAAGCCGGTAGAAATTTGAAGTGGAATGCTTTATTCCGACGGAAGAAAAATATGGAAGAAGTCTTCAAATTCAGGAATTCCACCAGCAAAAAGCCAAAAATAATCAGAAGCAATAAAGATTTCATGACAATTTTCGAATGACCACGCAGAAAATCGGGAGAATATCGCCAGGAAATCATTTTACAAGAAAAAAGGTGCGAGAAAATAATTAGCCGCCTCTTTTTTTTTCGGTCGTCAAGAGAGCGTCAGAATCGGAAACGAGAAAAAGTTTCCTTAGAAGATTTCCTCTTTTTGTTCTTTTTGGGTTCATTAATATTCAAGACGTCTAGCAGTTTCACTTTTCAATCTTGCCGAATTTTATTTTCTTTTAAGGAAAATTCTTCTTCATGGAAATATCAAATATTGAGTGTTTTTGAAGGCGGGCGGAAATATCTTCAAATCCACTGAAATCAAGCCAAAACATCGAATTAAAGGTAGGTATGAGGAAGAGATGGGACTTGGATATTCGGAAAAAATTTGGTTCGGACCAGGTTTTTTACAAGTATCCTTTCGAGGAGAAAAATATTTTCCAAGTATTTTATTTTTTTAAAAAAAGATCTTTTTGATCTTTTGAAACAAAGATTTTGAGAAGAAAAAAATTTAAATTACTTCCAAATAACCAGTTTCACTAAAAAAATTAGTTACAAAAAGAAAAATTAATTTTAGAGAAATTAAAATAGTATAAGGTCATGAAAGCCCTCAAAACAGAAAAAAATAACATGAAAAAAATTCCTTTAAAAGCAATAAATCTTCATTAATTAAGTGACAAAAAAAGCACAAAAAAATCACCACTTGACATCATAACCCTTCCAAATTTCCCTATTTGGGACGAGGAAAAATTCGAATTCCTTGGATAAAACAAGTGACAACGCCATCGTAGGCAGTCCTGGCCACACCCGACTGAAAATAATTATTTTGTATGATTTTTTTTCCCATTTTTTCACCCTCAAATCGTCCATGAGACCAAAAATGGCCAGTTTATACTTGAAATCGCTTGCGTCGGAGTAGATTATTCTGGAAAAAATTATTACTATTTTTTTGAAATAGTTTAGAAAACAATAAGTCTGAAAAACGGATTCGAAAAAATTTTTTTAACATGAAAAAAATTCACCGAAACTTCTTCCCAGAAGCTTTTTTTCCTTCTTTTTAATTTCTTTCTGAACTTCTTCCAGTGTTGCCAAAACCGCCGAATCAACTTCTGCGTGAAAAATTTTGGCTATACGATTCCTAAAAAAATACAAAAAAATAATCTTTATTTCGATGAAAAAAATCGATACATTTAATAAATAATTCAAATCGAGACGGCGAAAAATCGACAAATTCCTTTGTTGACAACGATTTTTCGACACGTGCTCGGCGAAGAATTGGCCGCTAAAGGTGAATTTTTTCAGGGTTTCCTTTGATAAAATATACAAGAAAAACTGAAATATAACTTTTTTTATATCAAAATGATATCAGAAAAATTCGTTTTTTTAACATGAAAAATTCAACCTAAATATGCGAAAGTTTGAATTGAATTTTTTTAGAGTAGTTTATCGAGGTGAATTCTGAAAATTGGGGTTTTTTACCCGCTGGCTCCATTCTGGCCATGAATTGACATTCCGGTCCTGCCGATTTCCGGTCGAATACATTGCCTTCCCTAAAATAAATGTAAATTTAAACCTTCCATAGAGAAAAATGACTTCTTTTTGCTGTACAAAACCATAAAATGGATTTTAAAAAAATAGTTTCATAACAGTTTAAAGCTAGAAAATCATAATTTGTACCAAAAATTTAAAAAGCTATCCAATTTTTTTGTCGAACTATTAAGTTTGGTTCTTATTGACTTTAAAATGTGATTTATTTTTTTGGTTTTTTTATAGCAGAAGAATGACTAAATATGATGATTTTTTAGAAAATGAACCCAGAAAATGACCGAATTAAATTGAAAAAAAGAATTTTTTACAAAGAAAGCACAATATGAAACCTTTAAAGCAAAAGAAAAAGATAAAATTCAGAAGAAAACCTCTTGGAAAAGACCTCTAAAACACAAAAATTTCCAGATACAACAAAAATAGGAATTTTTAATACAACCTAGAACCAAAAAACACTTCAAAAATAACAACTAAATGTTGAAAAAAACTTTTCTAATCTCCGGATATTGCATCCAGTCGTCCCAGAACGACGGCGGCCAAATATCTTTCAATTGCAACCACATTTTTTTCTGAATAAATATTTTTTTGTACAGATTTCTGAAATTAGAACAAACGAAGTCATCATCCAGCCAAGACGTGGCATTAAATCGGTACGATACAATTTTTTTTCCGGGGCTTCCAAATCGATCAGATCGGGCTGAACACAGGAAAAAAATCTCTATTTTCTTTCACTCATGAAATTTCTAAGAAGTTCCTCGAAGTTTTTTTCAAGAAAAAAAGGCAGATTTTTTCACATTTATGAGCTTATGAGGTGTGTTCCACGGGAATCATTACAAAAATTTAAATTTATTTCATTCAAAAAAATAATTTTTTTATGTGCAGTTGATGCTCAAAATTCATCAAACTTCGATAAAAACAGGCCGAAACATTTTTTTCCCAAATTTTTTTATTTCAAAAACTTGTATGAAATCACAAAAGTGTCTTGATAAGTTGACTAATTTTTCAAATTTCATATTTTAACGAGAGAATTTTCTACACTTTTTTCAGTTTTGAAACAATCTAGTGTTCTTTTGAAAAGATACCAGAAATTTCTTGAATTTCAGCTTTTTTCGAAAAATTCACTTTCCCGTGATCGTTCCATGCAGAAACACACCACAAGGTTGGATCCTTATCCAATAAATATCGAGTAGCCGAGAAATATTCGAAAAAATCGTCAGATATCGTCAAATCGTCTAAAAATATCTCTTTTTCAAAGACAAACTACAATTTGAAAACCTTCCAAAATTATGACACTCGTAAAATTTTTCCCAATGAAAATATAGTCAAGTGCTGATTTATAGTGTTGAGCGATGTAGTAATAAGTTTCGAGATGCATATTCATCGGGGGAAGATTGACTTCTGTCTGATTGTGCTGAAAATTCAACACTTTCATAGAAAATTCAAAAATATTCACCTTTACATACTCGATATCTGTGCCAAACTTGGAAGCAGCCATTTTGACAGAATAATCATCGCAATCTTGAGTGACGACTATAGGGAACTTCTCCCTTCTTTCAGGTCCTCGTAACCTGAAAAATTCATAATTTTCATCATTTCCATCTTAAAAACTCACGAAAGAAGTCGAGAAACGAGGTGAGTTAGTGCCGCAGGACGGTTACACGAAAACACCTAATTTTTAAATCTTTTTCAAACTTTCGAAGTTAGTTCTTGCTCGAAAACCCTTCTACAAGTAAAAAAAACATAGTTCATATATAATTCTATGTAGTGCAACACAAGCTTTCAAACGGTCCAGAAAGAATTTTCGAACAAAATTTACTTACTAAAATGGGTATAGGTTCATCCGGAAACTTTTGAGATCCGTTAACCTAAAAAAAAAAATCAAAATTAGAAATTCCGATAAAAATCAACTTCAATAATCGGATGGTTAATTGGACGGAAGGGCACTTTTACTATATCTCGCAAAACTTCAGCCTTTTTGAACGCATCAAAACTCTGAAAAATTATTGGGATATAATAAAAAAAAAAAGCTTGACTACCTTGAAAAAACGGAAGAATGAGATAATTGTGATGAGGGAGAATAAAACAGTCGATACCAATAAAAAGGTTCGAAATGTCGATTTATGCATTCTGTTGCAATTGAGCAAAATGAAAAAAAAAAAACAAAAAAAAGTGCAGGAAATGAAAAACTGCGCGTGAAACAAAATGCATTTAGTTCACTCATAATTGCTGCAGATTTTCAATACACCGTACGATGAAAAATCAAAAAAAGCCACGTTTTGCAAGATTCATTTTTAAAAAAATCGACGAAATGGCGGGTTTCTCATTATTTTTTTTGTTTTTTTGGTGAACATCGGCTGTCTTCAAGGTCTGTTCTCTAATTACCCCATTTTAAAATTAAATGATTGGAAATCTTCAGGAGATGAAAACATGGAGGTTGAACAAGGAGCTGGTTGTGTTTAGTGTCATATTATTTGCAATAGTCATGGTTATTCTTGGCTTTTCCTCTCCAGATGACGAGAAACCGTTCAGAAACCGTGGTTAATCATTTTTCTCGGGAATATTTGTTGATTCAGCTTTTTAATACTCTTTTGCGAGCTAAAATGTTTTTTTTTCTAGCTGAATTACCGCCTTTTTGGAGAAATGGACATGAAGAACGAGTCTCGGACGTCAGTACATCAGAACCGCTTGATATTCGGATCGGCAAACGAAAATATGAAAATGTACCTCTTGTCAGTGGTTAGAAAGTTATTTAATACCAAAAAAATGACAACTTCCGATATACGACGACAAAAAATCAAAAAGATGATGCTGCACGCCTGGAATGGCTACAAGAATTATTCTTGGGGATTTGCCGAAGTAAATGATGAAAGTTTGGTATTTTTAAACTGATTGAATTCAGGTGAGCCCAGTTTCAAAAACTCCACACTGGGCCGAACTTTTTGGGGGTGACAAAATGCCCGTAACGATTGTGGACGCCTTGGATACGCTTTTCATTATGGATTTGCAAGAAGAATATGAAGAGGTGGTTTGAATAATCTTTTTTTTCGCTAAGTAGCATTGAAAACGTCTCTTCGTCTCAAAAACGCTGTTAAAATAGACCCTATGCGCCTTTAAGTAACCCGACAAGAATTTATGAAAATGGGTAAAACGGAAAAGTTTTTTCGAAGACTCTTCATACAAAAGCTTGAAAGGTTCCGCTAAAAGCTGCAAAAATGACCTAAAAATTTTTTGAGCTTTTTTTTGAACCCTCTGGACTTTTTTTTTAATAAAAACCTGTGTTAATAAAACAGCAAAGACTATTGGGGACCATTAGAAGCTCTTTTTTGGAAGAAGCTTTTGAGGAGGTTTCCCGTTTTGCCTGAACACACTAAAGTTTTATGATTCTATCAATTCTTTAGGCTCGCGATTTCGTTCGCGACAACTTCACCATGGAATCGGCGACGACACCTTTATCCGTCTTTGAAACGACGATTCGCTTCGTCGGAGGCCTTTTATCGGCTCACGCTCTAACGAAAGAGCAGTTTTATGTGTTGGGGAAAAATTTCAAACCTAAAAAAGGTTCAATTTTAGAGATAAAGCAAAAGAGGTTGCTGATAGCCTTTTACCGGCTTTCGATCAGGTATCAGGCATTCCGACGAGCATTTTGGATGTGAGCCGGAAAATTGCGACAAACTTCGGCTGGGCCGGAGGGTTTCTTTCATTTCTTTGGCCGCATTTGGAATGGCTCAAGGCGTTGCGGTCGCGCTGCGGTTCAAGAAATTTCAACCAGAAACTGGTGAAAAGAAATGTGGACGTGAAGATGTTTACTAGATGCAGATTTTCCCGCTGATTACGAATCTGAGCTCGAAAATCGTCAAGGAAGTCCAAAAATGAATTTATAAAAGTTGAAAAAAAAATTTTCATGAAGTTCAACGGAAGGTAGAGCTGACCAAAATGATCTTGAAACAACAATTCTTTTTTTTTGAGGACATATTGCGCTTAAATATGCCTGTGGGCGTTCGCCCCAACTTTCATTACAACTTCACTCTGGCGTAGCGCACTGCTGGCGTGCGCTACGGAATAAAGACTTATATGCCGAGTCGGACTTGCTCCTAAAGGAAGAATGGAATGATGCTGAGGAACATCATTTTATCCATTTCACTAAGAAAAAAAGCTCAAATTCTGTCACAGGCCTTTTATTTCAAAGCGATTTCTAAAATCAGCTTCAAACTCAGATTTCAGATTTGAGCAAACAGCTAATGACGGAGTTTTTTTTTTTCAAAATCATGAGATCTTCTTTATTGAGACCAATCACTGATAAAAGTTTAAATTTGAGCTTTAAAAACTTAATTTTGAATGTTATCGGCGATTTTGAGCTGAGATTCGGAACCAGCTTGAAAAACTGCATCAATCAAAATTTTCTGATGAAGCGTTTTTTTTTTTTCAAAACCGCCTGCGACGCTTAGGGCCATTCCTTTAGCTCATTTCGTGCCAGCTTGTCACGATTTCCATTCTCCTCCGAGCTACAGAACCCTTCCGGAAAGCTTCCCTTCGATGCGCGTGCTCTGCCTCTATCTATGCGCCTTTAATAGAGTGGAAATTTGGGGCTAAATAAAAGGGGATTGCGATGATGTAAAAGGAATTGTTCTGCAGCTCGTAGGAAAATTAAAATAGGGACAACTTAGCGCATAATGGGCTACTGGGAAACATTTTAGTGGCCACTATAAGGACTACTCGGGGAGGACACTAAAGTGGCCACAAAACCCACTTCTAAAGTGACCACTATTTTCCGTTTTAGTGGCCACTTCAGTAGTTTTTCATCCAGTATTCCTTCCAGTAACTCTGATAAATTTAAAACAAACAGATTGGACCAGTTATAATGATCCAATGACCCCTAAAGTGACCACTAAAATTTTTTCTCGCCTAGTAGCTGCACCGAGACCTCTATAGTGGCCACTAATTTGACTATTATCGTGACCACTAAAACTTCAAAACCCTATAGTGGCCACTAAAAATTTTCCCAGTATGTCATGAACTTTTTTAGCTCAAAAAAACTATCCCACACATTTTCAGGTCGATCCTCGCTGAAATCGGCACCCTACACCTGGAATTTGTCTACCTGAGTCAGTTGACCGGCAATTCGACCTACAGAGACGCGGTCCAGAAAATCCGCGACGCCCTGGATCGGATGCCTAAAAAGAATGGTCTTTACCCGACTTACATCAATACTCTTGATGTGAACATCCCTTTGAGGAGTATTTAGTGAGTTTTCGAGCTCAAATCATGGGAAATGATTTTTTTCGTCCAAATTTTGAAACTTAGTCCGACGTTTTAGGGTGATGTCAAGTTAGCTGAGAAAAACTGAGCATTAGAAAAATAAATAATCGGATTTTTCGATACGCCCTTTTTTCCTCTAATTATCGTTAGAGCAAACTTCATCCATTAACTAAATTCTTGACTTCTCTCGAATTTTTCGCTTTTCTTATAGCACCTCATTTTCAATTACAGAGTGGTTCCTATAGGGGCAACCTTAGGGCTTTTAAAGGGTCTCCCCTGAGAACCACTTTACCAACCCCTAAAGGGACCACTAGAGCTCGCAAAAGTAGTCCCTATGAGCGTTTTAGTTAGTGGCCCCTATAGGGGACACGCTAATAGATAATTCTCATGAACTCTCAGCGAAAAGCAATTTTAAGATCCCTATAGGGTCCACTTGAACTTTAGGGGCTCAGGAGCTAGACCCTAAATCCCTATAGAGACCACTTAGTTTTCACCCCTGTAGGGACCACTTTTCGGCCCCTTTAGGGGTCGTTTTCCGCCCTAACCCCTATAGGAACCACTCTGGAATTCCTAAGCTTGAAAGCTTATTTTTAGCGGAACTAAGATCAAAATTTCAACTTGAATAATTTTTGAAAAGACCTGGAAAAATCAAGAACCGATCCTTCAGCACCCTATCAGCATGTGGCGACTCATTCTACGAATATTTGCTCAAATCTTGGCTCCAATCGGATCGAACTGATGAACAAGCCCAGAGGATGTACTGGAACGCTAGTCAAGCCATTGTCTCGACGTAATATTCCGTTATTCATCAAGAATTTGAGTTTTGAAAATTTTCAAGGCTGCTGAAAAAGTCTTCAAAGTCGAATTTGACGTATTTGGCCGTGTTGAACGGGGAGTATACCCAACATCGGATGGGTCAATTGGCCTGTTTTGCCGTCGGAATGTTCGGATTGCAGGCTGTCAATGAACTGAATCAGGATAGAAAGGTTAGGAATCGATAAAAAAATCAGACAAAGGACAAAGTATATTTTTATTAAATTGTTGAGCCTCGGGAAGGCCGGAAAAAGCTGATTTAATATAGGTACACAAGACACGAGGAGCTTCAAAAAATCGGTACAGGAAAAAAAAAATTGAGAAGTGTCTTTCCGAAAAAATAGTCACAAAGTAGCCGCGAAAAAGGAATAACTGGAGTGAAAAAATATAATCGAGATCCATTTTCTGCGGTTTTGTAATGAAAAGAAAACTTTTGCGCGTTTAAATTGACTAAAGTTCGCAAAGATCGTTCTTTAATATCATATTTCTCATTGTAAAAACGAAGTTTCTAACCTAAAATTTATTGATTTTTTTATAATTTTCAGGAAGAAATAATTCTAGAACCTGTTGAATATGTTAATTAGATCATAAGGCTTTGAAAAAAATAGGCCGAAAAAATGTGGCAAAAAATAGGTATGGGAAAATAAGGAAAAAAGAGCAATTTTTACCGTTATTGGAAAAAAGGGGAGAAAGCTCAAATAGATTCTCCGTCTCTATCATGTTCCTCACTGAAAAACGAATTTTCTAATTTAAAATATCACTGATTTTATCAAATTTCCAGGACGAAGCCATGAAAATCGCCGAAGATCTTGCGAAAACCTGTCACGAAAGCTTTATCCGTTCGGAAACGGGAATCGGTCCCGAAGAGTTCGATTTCGAATGGGAGCGCGACGCGACCGCGGCGAATAGTGTTCATTATTTGCTCCGTCCGGAACCGATCGAAGGATTTTTCTACTTGTGGAGATTGACGGGCAAACCGGTTCGTACTAGAGTTCTCAAAACCAAACGTTCGAACGAACGTTCGACCAAACATTTTCGAACAAATGTTGAAACCAAACTTTTGGTTCAAGTTTGCTTTTGAACGTTCAACCAAAAATGAACGTTCATTTTCCGTTCGTAAAAAAAGTTCGTTCAAAAAAATGAACGTTCATTTTTTTCATTTTCAAAAAGTTCGTTCAAAAAAATGAACGTTCATTTTTTTCATTTTTCAAAAAGTTCGTTCAAAAAAATGAACGTTCATTTTTTTCATTTCCAAAAAGTTCGTTCAAAAAAATGAACGTTCATTTTTTTCATTTTAAAAAGTTCGTTCAAAAAAATGAACGTTCATTTTTTTCGTTCGTAAAAAGTTCGTTCAAAAAAACGAACGTTCATTTTTTTCATTTTCCAAAAAGTTCGTTCAAAAAAATGAACGTTCATTTTTTTCATTTTAAAAAAGTTCGTTCAAAAAAATGAACGTTCATTTTTTTCGTTCGTAAAAAGTTCGTTCAAAAAAACGAACGTTCATTTTT